CTTTATTTCCTGCATTCACTCGTCGTTCAATATCCTTATCATATCTCCCATCCCTGCTGAATACACATCCCAAATACAGGAACTCATCCACTTCCTCAATTAACTCTCCATTGAACCATTTCACGACACCAATCAACACGACGGAGTTTTTGGCCTCTGTCAAATTATGAGGTATCCACCGAGCACAAAGTTTCCTAACCGCTAAATGTTCATGGAGGATTCTGTGCACTTGACTCATACCGATGCCTAAGCTTGTCCGAATCTGCTGATAAGTCACTATTTTATCAGTGTCTATCATACGCCGCACAACACTGATGTTATCTTCAGTAGTTGCCGTAGAAGGCTATCCCTCACGCAGATCATCGGTGAGATTAGTGCGACCACGTTTAAACTCATTTAACCAGTTGTGAACAGTGGCACGAGTTGGGGCTTCATCGTGAAAGGCCAATCGAAGGCTATCATAACTTTCTTGTTGACTTAAATGACATTGAAAGTCATAAAAAATGATTGTACGAAAAATTTCTCGCATTATATTCATGCTGACGTGACAATGCCGTGTAGTGGCGGTTAAGAATATCCACTACCCCATATCTTCCCGTGGGTGTCGTAAAAGGCGACAGAGGGAGACAGGCAGGAGATGGGCAGCAGCATCTTCCTGATAACAGCAACTGTACGATAAAAAAAAACTGCGGTTGCCAACCCGCTCGCCAAGCGTGGCAACTATGGCAATATACCCCCCATGAACAATTACACAAATAGACGGCCCCCAGTCCCCGGCGGCTCCGCTATTCCTGGCTACGGTGGCGACCATGGTAACGGCGGGGCAGGGGGTGCTAAGAATCTCCGGTGGAGGTTCGGTTGCCACCTACGACGACTCGACCTGGCAACATTTAACGCACGCACACTGAGGACTGACGAGAAGATCCTGGAGCTGGAAGAAGAGATAGACAAGTTGCGCTGGAGTATTATAGGATTATCCGAGGTCCGAAGAGAGGGGGAGGACACGGTGATTCTCGAATCCGGCAACTTGTTCTATCACCGGGAGGGCGACCATCTGTCCCAAGGAGGTGTCGGATTTATCGTCCACAAGTCTCTCGTCAACAACGTTGTAAAGATTGGGAGTGTGTCGACGAGGGTCGCGTACCTGATACTCAGAATCACCAAACGGTATTCGCTGAAGGTCATACAGGTTTACGCACCAACCTCGGCACATTCCGATGAGGAGGTGGAGGAAATGTATGAGGATATTTCCAAAGCCATGCATTCCTCCAAAACCCACTACACGGTGTTGATGGGAGACTTCAACGCAAAACTAGGCACAAGAGAAAACGGTGAGCTGAAGTTAGGGAAATTTGGAATAGGGCAACGGAACCGAAGGGGCCAGCAGCTGGCCGACTTTATGGAGAAAGAGGGACTCTTTATGATGAACTCTTTCTTCCAGAAGCGGCCCCACAGGAAGTGGACCTGGTCGAGCCCCGACGGTTCGACAAAAAATGAGATTGACTTCATTATGACGACCAGACGCCAACTGTTCAGTGATGTCTCAGTGATCGCAAAGGTGAAAACTGGCAGCGATCACCGAATGGTTAGAGGCACACTGAACCTAAACGTTAAGTTGGAGAGGTCTCGTTTAATGAAGTCAACGCTCCGTCCCCCTCGTGCTCTAATCCAGAATCCCGAAAACTTTCAGCTCGAGTTACACAACCGCTTTCAGTGCCTTCAAGATTGCAATGCAGTGGACGATATGAATGACAAGCTCGTGGAAACTGTCCATGCGGTCGGAGCTAAGTTCTGCAAGACCCGCCGCAGAAGAACACAAAAACTCTCCGATCACACTCTTAATCTCATGGCTGTTAGACGGGAGATGAGGCTGCAATCGTCAACAGATTTGACAGCATACAGGCAACTGAATAGACAGATCTCCAAATGCATGCGGCGAGACTTACGCAACTTTAATACTTCTCGTATTAAAGAAGCGATCGAGCGGAACCAGGGCTCCAAAGTCTTTGCCAGAGATCTGTCTGCCAGAAAGAGCCAACTGTCAAAGCTGAAGACTGAGTGTGGCAACATCGTTTCCGGGACATCTGAGATTCTGATTGAGATTGAGAGCTTCTATGGGCAGCTGTACACATCATCGTTGGAGCCACACTCAAGTGTGAGTAACGATCCAAGAGCAAGTCTTATCCGACACTATTCCGATGATATCCCGGACGTCAGTCTGAGCGAGATTAGAATGGCTCTCCAACACCTTAAAAACGGCAAGGCCCCGGGCGAGGATGGAATTACAGCGGAGCTTCTGAAAGCGGGTGGAACACCGGTACTTGAAGTCCTTCAGAAGCTCTTCAATTCCGTCCTCCATGGTGGCACTACTCCAGAGGCGTGGAGCAGAAGTGCGGTGGTTTTGTTCTTTAAGAAAGGCGACAACGCTCTCTTGAAGAACTACAGACCGATTTCCCTTCTGAGCCGCGTCTACGTGCTGTTTTCGAGAGTCATTACGAATCGTCTCGCAAGCAGACTCGACGACTTCCAGCCTCCCGAACAAGCCGGTTTCCGAAAAAGGCTTCAGTACCATAGACCACATACATACCCTGCGGCAGATTGTACAGAAGACTGAAGAGTACAATTTGCCACTTTGCCTGGCGTATGTGGACTATGAGAAAGCCTTTGATTCCGTCGAAATTTGGGCGGTGCTGCAGTCCCTTCAGCGGTGCCAAGTTGACTGTCGGTATATCGAAGTGCTGAAGTGTTTGTACAGTAGGGCTACGATGGCTATCCGAGTACAGAACCAGAGCTCGAAACCTATCCAACTGCAGAGAGGTGTAAGACAGGGTGACGTTATATCCCCGAAACTCTTCACCGCTGCTTTGGAAGACGTTTTCAAGCTACTGGACTGGAAAGGATACGGTATTAACATCAATGGCGAGTACATCACTCACCTTCGATTTGCCGACGATATAGTCCTTATGGCAGAATCGCTGGAGGACCTTAGCACTATGCTCAAAGACCTCAATGGTGTCTCCCAACGGATAGGTCTTAAGATGAACATGGACAAAACAAAGATTATGTTCAATGTCCATGTCACACCTATGCCGGTAGTTGTGGGGAGCACTATGCTCGAAGTTGTTGACGAGTACGTTTACCTGGGACAAATAGTCCGACTAGGTAAGTCCAACTTCGACCGAGAGGTCAATCGACGGATTCAACTCGGCTGGGCAGCGTTTGGGAAATTACGACACATCTACTCGTCAGGTATACCTCAATCTCTGAAAACTAAAGTGTACAACCAGTGCGTGTTGCCAGTGATGACTTACGGATCAGAGACGTGGTCCTTCACTGCTGGCCGTATGAGGACGCTCAAGGTCGCTCAGCGAGCTATGGAGAGGGCTATGCTCGGAGTTTCTCTGCGTGATAGACTCAGAAATGAGGATATCCGCAGTAGAACCAGAGTGACCGACATAGCCCAACGGATTAGTAAGCTGAAGTGGCAATGGGCCGGCCATATAGCTCGAAGAACCGATAACCGATGGGGAAGAAAGGTTCTCGAGTGGCAGCCTCGTACCGGTAGGCGTAGTGTAGGGCGACCCCCCACTAGATGGAGTGACGACCTGGTAAGATATGCAGGAAGTCGATGGATGCAGGTGGCTCAGGACCGTGCTTTGTGGCATTACTTGGGGGAGGCCTATGTTCAGCAGTGGACTTGTGAAGGGCTGTAATGATGATGATGAATGACGTGACAAATCGTAAACAAATGACAAATAAATAAAATACATAGACAAACATATTGCCAAAGAGTTTCAACATTTGAACTTATTTTTTATCATAACGTTTACTGGTATCCAATTCTAAAAACTTTCATTGCCGCCCTCGTAATGGGCTTGTAATCGGAGCATGCGCCGTCTACTACGACCTTGATGCTCCGATCTGCAAGAAAACTGATGATCCAATTGCACGATTTCTCGGGAAGTCCATAGGAAGGAAGTTTCAGAAGAAACGCTTTGAGCCAATCCTGATCTAAGGCCTTCGCTATATCTAAACTAACGGCCATGGCCTACCCCTTGGACTCTACTGCCTCCGTCTATGATTCTGGTTCACAGAGATCATAGCTCAATTGAAATAATTATACATTTTTTTACAGCAGCTTAACATTTTCAAAAATGGTTTCAATGAATTTTGCTAGATTCAAAAACAAAAATATTACTCAATACATTAAAAGTATTGAGTAATATTTTAATTTTAACAATAATCTTGTAATATTAGCTGTGAAAGCTACTCCAAAAATTAATATTAAAGTTTCTTCTAAAGACTCAAAATAATTTTATGTACATTAAAAGTATTGAGTAATATTTTAATTATTTTTTTTGTTTACATTGCCTCTTCTTCCGACAATAACTAGGAGCAAAATTTACTATCTATCACTTTATTCATTATATGACTTAAGGATCCAAGCATGCAATAATTACCTACTGATCTGTTGTTATTTAAAAGCCCAAACTTCTATCATAATACATTAAAAATTTAAGTTTATTTTCTTTGCTGTCATACTGTCATAGAATGTAGGTGAATATAATAAGTCATTACTGCATAAATTACAATTTATTTATATAATAACAATCAACAATCTACCTAGTATTGTGCGCTGATATTCACTTTGATGTTACAAGTAAATTAAGGGGTCAAAACACTCCTCGTCATAATTCCGTGACTTTACCAGATCGTCCATGTCCAACAGGTCTTCTTTTATCTAATTCTGAACTAATTTATATTTATTTTATGTAATTCGTAGAAGTTTGTAATGATGAAATTTCTGAAATCAAACAATAAACTTAAATTGTATTAAATGTTTTCCACCTCAATTGAATACTATTTAATTTTGTCAATTAACTGCTGCGCTTTATGTAATCCATATGTTTATATTTATTCATTTCGATGAATTTTTTCTTTTATACGATTATTGTAACATTGATTGTGTAAACTAAAAACAAGTGACACATTTCTTTCAGAAGAGCGCGCGTGACGTTGCCCGTGCTCTTGATGCGTCGCGATGCTCCAGGAATAGCCGGCGACAGCGACGCGCGGCCGCGGCATTCCGACGCGAGCGTGCGCGCCATGTGGGGCTCCGCGCGCACCGCGTGGGCCTCCCTGCTGCTGTGCTGCGTCGCTGCCGTGGCCGCGCAAGATGACGTGCAGATCGGTTAGCGGAATTAAATTTTTTGAGAAGCATATAATTTGTTGTGGTAAAGTGAACATGTACCAATGGTGAACGATTTGACCCGAGTCGCATAAAAGATGATTGCGTATTTTTAAGCGATCTGTAAGAAATAATTGACAGAACATTTATAACCTGTGACCTATGATTGACTATTATGTGCGTACTGTAAATGTGAACGTGTACACAAATAGGTTTTTTTTTTCAAAATAATTGTGCTAATCGTTTCGCGTAGTTTGTGCTCGAATTATGAGGCAGGCACACTTATGAGTTTGAGTTTGAGATAATCATGGAAACAACTCACAACTCTATGTCTGTTTTATATTTCATAGCACATACGAGTATATAAGAGTATTACTTTTATTAAGTAATACATATTATTCAAAATGTTAACAATTTACAAATAGTAGAGCTCGGAACACTGTGCATATAAATACCTATACAAACGGTAAAATGTGTGAAAAAAGAAGTATTTGTTTGTTTTCGATTGAAACGGAATGATCTGCGCTGGCGAGTCGCGACCACCCAAAGAATAATATAGTGACTGACGACCGATAGAACCGGACGAGTCTTACAGATCACACAGTACTGGAACCGGAATTAATCCATATGAATGATCGACCTGAATGAATGATTTGTACCACCATACTTTTTTACCAGAAAACATGCAAAAAAACATAATTAATTACGTTATTTTTAACAAATTTACAGTAGATCAACAATTATGTCTATTCAAATACATTTAAGTATAAAAAATCAATTGGTACATTGTTACAATTATTATTTAATTTTCATATAAGTTCGTCAAATTAATTACATTATTAATAAAATAAAGTACCCTTACAATTTGTACACGAATACCTATGCGTAATTATTACACGTACAAACTTAAATGAAATTATTTTCTCATTAAAACTTAATTTATATTGTAGTATACAGTTTGTCCGGTAAAAAGTTTTGTAACCTTTTCTTAAATGATAATGTGTTGAGATCTCCCCAACACTTGGGTAATTTATTGAATATTGTCGGTTCCATACAACAGGCACTGTTGCGCATTACGTTGATTCTCCCCCAGTAACGTAAAGTCTACTATTGTCGCGTTATTTTTTTGGGAAGGAATCAACGCTTCAGTAGAAATGAACGATTGACACCATATCCAGTGTGAGGTCCGGGTTGAGTCACAATCATTGTCATTGGGTTTTTCCGTTAAGAAATTCTCAGTAGCGTAGGAGTCAGGAATTTAGCGGTGTTTCATGCACTCCTATGACTGACCCTGACCCTGACTTCGCTGTTTTTGTAGAATTACCGCCCCATCGATCTAAGAGAGTGCCACGTAGAGGCTGTTTAAAAATATCCACTACCCTCCATCATCCTGTGGGAGTCGTAATAGGTGACAGAAAGGAACAAGTCAGCAGATGGACAACAGCGTCGTACTGATATCAACTCAAAATTATACAAAATGCAGTTGCCAACCCGCTTGCCAGTTGTGGCAACTGTGGCGAAATACCCCTTTAGGCAATCTATGGGGGAGTCCTATGTTCGGTAGTGGATTTTACAGGCCTTAATCGATGGACTGTGGAGTAAGGGAGTAGAGAGTGCACCTGTGCTTGCGTATACACTAGCGCAATAACCTATAATACGCAGATGGTTGGTCTTTTCTGAAACTGTCCGCCGTGACCGAATTCGGTGTGAAGGATATTATGAGTGTAGTGATGGGAGGCGTACGTGGCAGGCGTGGTGTGCGACGAGCCGGAGCGCGCGGCGCGGCTGGCGGCGGCAGCGGATGCAGCGCTGCGCTGCGCCGAGCCCTGCGCCCGCCTGCTGTCCGTCGAGCCGCGAGAGCCTCTCGCCCTGCCGCAGGCCGTTTGCGAACAGGTACACTACCAATCCAAACCAACCATATTTTTTAAAGCTGTCTTTGTTGTTAACTTCCGCAACAAACTGAAACTTATTTATAGAATAATGGTGACAAACGAGCACAGTCCGCCCGATGGTAAGTGGATACTGTGACCCATAAACATCTGCATTTTTCGTAAACTGCAGATGCGTTGTCACCTCTAAAACTGTGATGGAATCTCTACCATACGAAACACATGAACATTATGCGGCTGGTTTACACTGGTATTCTATGAGAACGTTGTCCTACCCCAGTTGAGCAGACACACGAGTCCTACAACTATAATATAGCTGCAGGTAGGTATAATATAACTACCACGTACTGTTAAACATGTAATATTTCGTGTTTAATCAATTATAAAAGTTATAAAATTATCTTTGTTGTATTCGCTTAGAAAAAAAAACGATACAATGTGTGAATTTAATGCCTAAAGACTTTCTCTACCGTTCAACCCATGGAGTGGTGAGAATTTTATAGCAAAAGAAAAGAAACTGAAATAAATCCCCATTATAAGTAATGAAATATATTTTGATATAATCAAGTTTCATATAGTTAAATAAGTAAATACATTTAATATATCAGTATATTTACATATATTAACACATAATCATAATATGGATACGAATACATACGTACAAATACGACTATTTAACAATATTGATTTCTCTAATGATTCATCAGCAAATGCTCGCGAACCATTTTTTAAAGGAGATATGTGCTTTCCTGATGTCATCAGGCAAGAAATTTCAAAGAAGTGAAAGCCTGAACAGTGAAGGATTTACCATAGAATTCAGTGAGATGAGTAGGAATATAAATCTTGTAGTTAGAAGGAGATCAAAGAACCGTATCATGACAAGAAGAGAGATACTGAAATCGATTCTTGACGTAAAAGACGAATAGGGATCATTTAGAATTGAAAAATGAACAAATGCTATTCTGAAATTGCGCCTTTACTTTATGGTAAGCCACTTAGGCTGAGATCTGTAATGAGAAATATGGTTATACCTTCGGAGACCAAAAATAAAACTAACATAGTTGTTAAGCAAGCGCTCCAGCTTCTCAAGAAGTTCTTGGGAAACAGCACACATCTGCATAATCAAAAATAGGTAAAATAAGTGTTTGCACAAGCATAAATTTAGACTTAATTGGATAAAAATATTTTAAACGATAAAGGTAACGTAAGGTGACGATGACTTTCTGACTTAAATCGGTAACCTGAACTTTCTAGTTCAGAGAGCTGTCAATATACAGACCAAGGTTTTTAACACGTTGATGAACAGTACTCGCTTACCGATTGCGCTTGAAAATACACTACTTTTTTCCATATATTGGCCATAGGCGTTGTGTCACAACACTGCGTCAATAATTACCTATTGTGACACAACGGGTATAGACGTAAACGTCTCACGACGTACTGGCACATGAAATGTGCATTTAAAGTGCGTGATTTGCCAGAACGCCTGTCGACGATGGCGTCGAGACACGTCTTCCACCTTTCTTCAGTTTTGTTACTATGACTTTAGGATTATCTTTGCGATTTGTACGTAAAGTGCCAGTTGTATGAGTTCTCAATTCAAGTAATTTTTGTGACGAGCTCACAGAATTGTAGTAGTTGTCCACAAATAGATGATGTCCACGTAATGGGTATGAACGCATCAACTTTAAAACAAGTTTTTCTGTTTTTGATCCAGTTTCAGAGTTGAAGCTTGCTTTCCACTATACATTTTCATGTTCAGAACATAGCCTTCAGGTGTTGCTAGTTGGAAATATTTGATGCCATAGCAAGCCTTTTTGAGTTGACTGGCGAAAGTTCAAACGACCTTGAAATAAAAGAAGAGACTCGTCTAACGACAGTTCTTAGCCAGGGTTATAGATTTTTTTGAAGTTTAGTGTTAGCATATCAATTGGTTGTACGATCTTATCATCCCCTTTGACATCCAAGTTTGCTGCATATGAACAACACAAAATTTGTTCATATCTTCTTTCTGACATCATGTAGCCCAATACGTGATCATTATGTAGTGGATCTGATGGCGAGAAGAGAATTCTTTGCTTGGGGCATTTTACATGACCTTTCAAAAGAGTGAGACTCAAACACTTCATAGTTTCTTCGCAATTAGTCTCCCGATGTACTGTTTTACGACTATGTCTAGTATGAGGTCTGTTAGTGTTACAGAGGCGGTTCCCATAACCGTTTGTACAGATTTCAATAAATTCTAAGAAATTTTGTGGAAAAACGAGATGAAAAAAAATCGACAACATTATTTTTATCTTTAATATTCACAGTCAAATCACATTCAGACGTGGCAAAATCGAATTCAGGTATTTCAGTAACTGATGTAGACCATGACTCCTCTGTAATATGTGAAATAGATCAACTGATAAGATGCTCAAAGTTTGGCTGATAAGAGATGCTCTGGGACTTGATTGCAAACATTTGATTAGTTGAAGGCCCAGCTATTTGTTCATCATAAATATTTTCTTGACGTTCTACTGAATAACATGAAGTTCTGTCGTCGTTTTCGACATCATTCTGAACATCATAAGTATTTTGATGACATTCTAAGGACGAACATGTAGTTCTATCATCATCATCACCCGAAGAATCAGAAGACTCACCCCAGATTATAGCCGCTGTTTCTTGCAAGTGACTTGTTTGCTAACTTCCAACTGGGTCTTTAGAAATCGAAGATTCACTTTCAGAAGGTCGGTATTCCTTATCTGATCCATATTCTACATCATCCACAAACAGTTCTTCAGAGGAATCAGAAGTGGACGCGTCATCGAATAATTTCTGTAACCGTCTTTGATTTTCCTCAAAGGGATCCGTCTGAAAAGTAAATCGTTTCGTTTACAAACAAAATAAGGCCCAAACATATGTCTTTCTTCTAAAAGTCTAACTTAGAAGGCTCAAAAAATTGTATTATTTATTGTAAGTACTAATAAAACAAAACAAAACGTATAAAATTACACGTGGCTTACCCTTGTGAAATATTTGGTTGCACAAACAGCGCGTGAGCACGTGGGGCACCACTTACGCACACTACTTCACTGAATATATGTAAATATGACGTCGAGGGGCGTACTGCGCTTTCGCGGGGTAGTACAAAATCGTCGTTGGTAGTGACCGGACTTTTTTCAAATGTGTGTAAAACTTGACGATGTGACAGTACAAGTACAAAAATTGTATGTACAGTGACAGTACAAAATGTCGCTTCATACATTTTGAAGGAATCTGGGACGTCGTAAGGCGTACTGATATTATAAGGGCTAAAACTCGAACGTCGACAGATGTTCTGTCATATCGCAAACTTTACCGCAACGTCTATAGGCGTTACTGTCCGTCAACGTGTTAACAGACTTACCTCTTCCTCTTTCTCCCGGACCTCGTTAAAGAGTATACGTTATAAAAACTTCGTTTTTTCGTTTAAATATAATTTATAAATACAAAATTTCTAGCAATAAATAAAGTTGTAATAATAGGAGTACATAAGAAATAGTCATCAATACGCTGTACGTCAAGCTGGCGAAACAACACATCGTACACAGCCGCACGGAGTTTACATCAACACAGTCTGTGACAAGATGAGTAATATACCTCACTAGCATACATTTACAACTGCTGTGTGCGTGCGAGCAATTGAAAATCGCAAGTACACGGTTCGCGTTAACTTCGCTCGCCTCCTGTGCTCCTAGTAGCCGACAAGCTGAATTGACATCCGTATTCTGATAAAATACTATTTGGAATCCGTATTCTGGTTAGATTGGATCCTTATTCTGTAAGATTCTTATTCTGATACTAATTGCATCCTTATTCTGATATTATTTGGATCCTTATTCTGGAAAGAACTAACTTTGAAATAAGTATACAGTATATATTTTTAAACTCGTTTTTAAAACTTTAACATGGCCATGAATAGATCTCTCTCTACTACGGATGTGGAAGGATTGGGTCACGAGGACACATTATCAAAATTAGTTATGCAGCGTAATAAGAGACTAAGAGAAGAGGACCTACCTGACTGCTGCTACTGACTGAATTCGTCAAATTTAAGGAAGAGATGAGGGACTTAATTACGACCTTAATAGCTCCTCAAACTGCACAATTTAGAGAAATCAAAGGTGAATTGCAATCGATTAAGGATACAAATGCTAATATCGATTCGTAAATATTATTACTTACGACTCAGAACAAGAACTCTGCAAGAAAGTAGAAACCCTGGAAGTGCAAGCTAAATCTGATCGAGAATATATCAAGGTCCTTGAGCAACAGGTGGAAGATCTTCAGAGAACATTACAAAAAACAAGTATCGAGATTAAAAACGTACCTAAATTTAAGGAAGAAAAAAGAGAAGATCTCATAAAAATGGTTCTCAATCTATTAAATTCCATTTGAATAAAAGACGTTTTTAGGCTGCAGGGCAAAGATATAAATGTTAAAAATACCCCCATCATCTTTGGACTTGGATCCACTCTCCAAAAAACTGAACCACAAAATAAAAAAATCAATATTAAAAATAAGATGATGGATGCTGATGGATGATGCCTGCAGTTTAGCAGACAAAGTTCTTTCTAGCTCGTGATCTACTGAAATCCAAGAAATTTAAATATTGCTGGACATCTTTTGGCAGAGTGTTTATGCGACAATATGAGAGCACTCGAATCATCAAAATAATCAGCGAATCTCAGATACATCAGTTAATGAAAGATGCATGACCACTCTCTATAATTACTTTCAAAATTGTATTATCTATTTTAGTGTTTAAATTTACACATGCAGAATCATTATCATGTAATTATGATTAAAAAAGGGAGAGAAAGGGGAAGGGTTTTTTTTTTTTTTTTTTTTTTTTTTTTTAAATTTTAGTCTTCCTTTTGGGGGGGGGGGGGTGTGGGGGGGTTTATGATTTTTAAATACATACATAACTACACTAAACCACAAATCTACACATTTGCACATCCTTTATTATTTATAAAAAACAAGTCACACATTGAACTCATACACAACACAAAATCTCACACTTACTCACTTATGCATCATCTTAAAAACTATTGTACATTTAGCTGCCTAAATAGAACCTCCCTAGGAATTTTCCAATTTTTACGTACTATTTACATATCTCTTATAAAATTAAGCGAATTTAAAATGAAGCCAAAAAAATGCCTATACTACCCTTTGTAGCTACAACGATTCAGTTATTAGAGCAAACAATTATGGATAGCTGTATGAAAACACTTGAAGATTTGGACGAAACTGAAATCGCTAAATCTGTATTATGTAATATAGAGGACTTATCTAAAGTAATGCAACCCATACCTAATTCAAATTTTACAATTGTGGCCGATGAAGGAAAATGGGAGATCTCCCGCCGGGCAAGGTGTTGTACCCGGGGAGCGGCCAACTCTGTTCTATATATACTGTTTATGATTCGGAATGTTAATAGCGCGATTTAGCCTTCGGTGTGTTTCGGTGTGCTAGTGGCGCGACGACAGCGCCGCTACATCACCCCCCTGCTCAGACCGGAGGTCGATAGTGCAGCCTCGTTGCCGACGAATGTGCAAGTGCCAGGAGATTGCCTTGTAGTCGGCGGTGTGTCGAGAAGAAGGAAAGTAATCTGCGAGAGTGCCGTGAAGCAGAGGCGAGCAGTAAGTCTCAGAGCCGTGCCGAACACTGTAGCGCAGAGTGTAGCTTGAAGTAACAGGAAGCATTATTATTCCAGTGCTGCGATGAACCTTGTGAAGCTAGATGGCTTGCAGGATATGAAGACTGCAGACGATATCTACTCGGGAGCGAATGGGTGGGGTATTTTATGACGATGATGAAGCTTGAAGTTTCCGAAGGTTGTAGGTTGCGTGTTCAGATCACGTCGGGGCACCACTGTGGCCGATGAAGGAAAATGGAAGATCTCCCGCCGGGCAAGGTGTTGTGCCCGGGGAGTGGCCAACAATCCGTGTGATAGTTCGGAGATGTTCTATATATACTGTTTATGATTCGGAATGTTAATAGCGCGATTTAGCCTTCGGTGTGTTTCGGTGTGCTAGTGGCGCGACGACAGCGCCGCTACACAATACTAACCCAAAATATTAGGAGTATATATCACAACATGGATGATTTACTGTTTAATATGTCACAATTACCATTTGAAACTGATGTCATAATATTAACAGAATGCAAGTTAAGCAACTGGATAACTATAAACCATATAAAACTAATTGTCAACTAAATCAAAATTACGGGGTTGTAGCTTATATTAAAAAAGACCTAAAGGTGAAAAAAGTATCTGAACTAAAGCTAACACATGCATCAGGCTTACAAATTGTTACTTCTGACTTCATATTATTGGGTATCTGTAGATCGCCGTCAGTTGCAAACGCTGATATGTTTACTGATTCCATAAATGCGCACCTGGAAACTATAGCCTCATATAAGAATATTGTTTTAACTGGTGACATTAATATTAACTTATTACTAAATCGACAGAGCTAGCGTATCAACACAATAACAGGCAGAAGTACCTAGACATTTTATTTTTACCTGGACTCTTGTCCGGTCGTTGCTTACCCACTAGATAGGACAACTGCCTTGATCATGTGTTCCTAAAATTAGATAAAAATACAAACTCAGCACTTGTAGCAGTACTTAATACAACAGTTACAGACAATTCTATGGTTTTAATAAGTTTATAAGTATTTATAAGTTTAAGTTTAAGTTTATAAGTAAATAAGTTTCCCAAGACTAAATCTATTACCGATTACAAGTCAGCCCATTTAACACTTGTAAATACAGATATCTCTCGTTTTAAGACTTGTAGCGATCCAAACATTTTTGCTGACATCTTAATTAAGACAATAAAAACAGCAATTGTTACTAATTCTAAAATTAAATTGGTTAACAACAGCAAAAGAATTTTAAAACCGTGGATTACCACAGGTGTTTTGCGGTGTATTAGGTTTAGGAATAGCATGTAACTGAAAGCAAAACAAGAACCCGCTAATGGGTGGGGTATTTTATGACGATGATGAAGTTTTAAAAATAACTTTTAAACATTTTAGAAACTTTTACACAAATCTAATTAGGAAATTAAAAGGACAGTATTATAAAAACGAAATCGTATCATCTTGCAAAAATTCCAAATTACTATGGTCTAAAATAAATGAAATAACCCAATTCAAAGCACTAAAACTTCTAATGTCAGGCTTCTCAATCTGTCACCAGACCATCTTGAATCTGTAAATAAAGTTAATAAATTTTTTGTCGACATTGGTAAATCTCTAGCTGAAGATATAACTAATAATTATATATACAACATGATAATACCCCTGAAATTAAATCAAATCTAACCTCGTTTGTTCTATTGGACTCTGACCTGCAGGAAGTTTCTGATATACTCATGAGTCTTGACTTTGGAAGTGCTCCTGGTTGGGATGGTATACCAACATTGTTTCTGCAAAGACGTAAATATTTTGTGGCTCCACTAATTAGCCAACTAGCCAACCTCTGTTTCAAAACAGGTGTATTTCCAAGGGCCCTGAAACGATCACTGGTCACACCAGTATTCAAGAACGGGGAGAGAGGCGATGTCAACAATTACCGTCCTATATCTGTCTTGCCATATCTCCAAAATCATAGAAAAATTTTTGAATAAAAGACTCCTCAGTTACTTGCTCCATAATAAAGTTCTATCAAATTCACAATATGGCTTTAGACAAGGTCTATCTACACAGGACGCAGTATCTGATTTAACAAAGCTAATTATTGAAAAGGTCGATCGTGGAGAAAAATGTCTTGCCATCTTTCTTGACTTAAAAAAGGCTTTTGACACCGTCTCT